CGCAGAGATAATGGGGTCGTTCTTGGTTACTGGGAAAGGGTATGCTAGCCTTGATAGAGATATTCCGCTTGCGAGGAAATTGTTGCCGTCGCCAAACCACCTTTCAACCACTATTTCTGAAAGTTGAAATAATTATTTGATCGGTGCGACGTCCACACCCCCTTCGCGCTCGTCGCCAGTTTCTGGCTGGACTCAACTTCACGGTTCAAACTGGAAAACTTCTTTGAAAATTGGGAAAAAATGGTGAGGAGTTGGGAAAATTGAAGAAGGTGCAAGGGTGGGAAGTCATACTAGAAGGGGAATATGGGAGTGGAGGGGGGGTACTGTCAACTGGTCTTCACTGGTCGTGCCGTTTCACACATCATGATGCTCTACCATGTGCACCCCCTCGCCCTCTATACTCTGCTTATTCTGCAATCTTGCAAGTTATCCTATTTGGACTATACAGATGGTTCCGCACACGACAACCCCGCCTCCTTCCCTCTATTCACCGCTAGGCAGCATGGGCACATACAGCCCATATCTCGTCGTTGAACGGGGAGTGTCTATTGGTAGCTTATTAGCACGGCATCAGCTGCGTTGCTGTGAATAGTTCCTGTTCAGAGAAAAGTGGTGGGAACACCTGAACAGACAGAATAGGTCTTTTTTGTACTGTACGCGCCTTGTAAGGATGCGCTCTCTACGTGTATGGAAAGTGTCAACCGCCGTCGTGCTTACAACTAGGGCCGTAGACACGCCCCTTCACCAAGATGTTTTCCACTTTCCATATATTATTCCATGAAACCTCCTATTTCGCATTGAATCTCTTTATAATGCACAAGTCATCATAAGAGATCAGGACGCGACACCACTGACCTCAAACTTGCGTAACTGGTGATGGCGGTGAGGGTGAGGTTGTCGATAAGGGTCTTCCGCGGCGATCTTGCGATAGTAATAACCGCATATAGTTGCAGCTCTCAGTGACACTTATAAAAACTGTACACCAAAGAAAAACGTGGAACGCATAAACCCGGGGATAACCTATAGTTATAGTCATGATCGCTGCAAACGATGAAGGGGTGTGAGTTGGAACGCAGCTATAACAGCCCTTTCCGCCCTTTTTTGAGGAGTCAGGATAGTATCATTGGTGGAAAGGTCGCCTTGGCAGCTCTCCAATTCGTACCTAGTCACACGCCCTGTCGCTTGCAAGGTCATAACTGTATATGAACAAACGAATATCTTTTTCCGTTCATTTCTTTTCAATGACCTCGTTGGTGATCGGTTGCTTTAGGTCGACTATACGATGAGCCGCTTGGCTATAATCGTGAGTTACCAATTGTAACTAGCAATTGTGTGATTTCAGACTACCCACGTGTTTTTTTCTTTGACGTTACCGTATTCCCTAACTTCCTTTCGTTCACCGTTGCTCATCCGAGCCATTCATACTATAAGAACGTTTTCAGTTTACTTCAACGAGTCTGTAACAACAGTCACAGTACACGACGACCCTGTCTTAACGCGAAGGATTGTTTACGGCGCAGTTGGTAAGGAGTGTTTGAACTCTGTTAGTAAAGGTAGAAGCAGTGAGAGAGGAGTGCGCGGGATGACCTCATTAGAACCTGGGATGACTAGAGGTCCCCTTTTTGATGGAAGCGTCGGATTTCCCGTCTACACGCTCACTGCTCCCACCACCTCTGAAGTATTGTCGTTGAATGGACCCTCCTTTTCAGGACTTCTTGCACTGCTCACACTTCTAACCGCGACATCGTGTATTCTGCTGATGCGACGAAGGAAATCTGATGACAAATTCAACGTGTTCGAAGAAGACATTCGAAAAAGTCTCATAATAACCCAAATAAAAGGGAAAACAGCAACAGAAGTGCTGTCGACACGTCAACCTCCATCGCATGTCCTTCCCAATATGTACTCAACAACGAAAACCACAAGCACAAGGTGACGGGATTTATGTAGTAGTTTTCGTAGTATAGCTGGGGCGTGTCAGCGGAATTGATTTGGCGCGGCGCCAGCCCATTTCCTACCATTATTGTCGCTTGCTCGCTTCAATACTTGGTGGAGAACTGGCTACCGCTGCACCAAACTCAGCTTCCCTGGCCTTGCCCTGCAGCGCAAAGGTCTACATGTATGTATGTAAAGAGTAAAGAATCGAAATATTTTGTATTCTTCAGTCTGTCCTCAAAGAGTGCTTCACCCAAGTTCGGAACTGCAACATGGAACGATTTTCACTTTCCTCCTCCTCCATCAGCTGCAAGTTCGTTGTCTTCGATTCTTCACATTTTATTGAAAATTATTGAGAAAATGCATAGAACCAAACTCCGGCATTATGCCCTCTAGCAGGCATATTAACTCGTAGGCGCGGTCTTTACAAAACTGGTTGTTTTCATCTGAAGGCACATTCCACGAATACCTGAAAACGGGTCCGGGTCACGTACTGGTATCGAGGAACATCCTTCAAGTTAAAACCTCTCAACACAGAGTCCCTTGTGAGAGGGGAAGAAGTTTTCTCATCCCATTTACAAGAAGTAATAAAATTGCGGCAATTTGACCGGAGAGGTGTATGCATAGCGCGTGGAACGAAAATCATCAAAAATCAGAGGAAATTCAGCCGGGTCAAGTACAATCCCTCCCTCCCTACAGATAGTAGATTCGCGGCAAACGCAATGTTTTCAAAGTGTTTCTTAATGGGGAGCTAGCTGTGTACTACTTTTACACAGATTTTCCAATTTGAAATCACTCTCTTTGGAAATACGCCAGAAACAAGTCACGGGCGATTTCAAAACTACTTCAATGAGAGCGCGCAGGCGAGCAGCGCGTATGGCACGCCCATTTGAAGGGTGGGTGGAGCTACTGCTGGTAAGTGGAGTCGCACTGGCGAAGGGCGGCTTCATGACTCTTTTTAGCCGAGTCGCGGGAATGGTTCATCCTCTACGATTGCAGACGTGGTTACTTAGAATAGGGAAGGGGCTCTGCCTAACAGACAAAAGTGGCCTATGACTCCGGGGTCCAGCTCGAGCAGCTTAATGCGCTGCTCGTAAAGGCGAACGTAACTCCACAAGAAATGCTCATGGACAAATGAAGATTATTACCGGCTGTTACTAACTGATGGGAAAAAAACGCAAATGTTTCCTATTTATTGCAGTATATTGAAATGTTTAGATGACAGGAGTTCTGAAGAGAAGGTTCATCACTATACGTCGACTCTAGCCAGAGATCAGTGAGTATTATTCGTCTGTCATCTTAATTTTGCGTCCCTGTGGGTAGTCGTCCGGGTAGTCACGGCAATAATTACGGTAGCAGCAGTGCGAAGTGGTGGGTGGGCCCATGTTGCTAGACAATAAAGGAAACACATGCGCGCGCCTAAACAGTTCTCGGAATGGTCGATAGCTGCGATAACTCCGCCCACCGCATTGCAAAGCTGCTACCTCTCTCTTAAGTGAAAATGTGGAAATAAGATAAAATACAACAATACGTTATCACTGAAGATTAGTATTGATTTCTATGGTCCTCGTCTCAATTTCTGTTTTGTTCTGGGGTACTTTCTTCCATTTTCTAGGGATACCGGCACAAAGTTTCCTCAAAAATATTCTCTTTTTTGAGCCGCAGTTACCTTAAAGTAATTATAAGGTCCTCTCTTTAGGGCCGAAAAAGTCATGAAGGTTCCCTCTTCGACTCTAGAAATTGGAGCAGACCTCGGCTATGGAAAGCTGACAGTTGTTAGGGAATGTTACGTTTCTTCATTAGGAAATGCCGCTTACAAGACGGCAAAAGATCGGGATAGTTTCTATGCCAGGTTTGTTTTTTCTGCCCTCAAATTATTCACAGTGAATACAGTTGATAACGTCGCAGTTAGCTGAGACGGTGTCAAGAAGCATGGAATGAGCAAACCCGCAGCGTTTTTACCATTTTCGCTTACAAAAAATAAGAAAAAAAACGAAAATGGCTGAAACCCTTGTGAATTATATGACAGGCTACGACAACAAGATATCTTTCCAGGAACGCCTTATTCGATGAGCTGAAAACCTTGACACTAGCCAAAAATCCACATATCGTACGCCTCTTGGCAACAGACGACAACGGTGGACTATTACTAGAGCTTATCATTGAAGGCAATGTAAAACAGTACTTGCAATCCCAATCAGTACCGGCAACGTGAAAGTCCAGTTCTTCACAGTTCTGTTCTTTGCTAGTACATGGTGAGGAGGTCGGTATGTGATCGAAGTCAATAGGACAATAGTTACTGTTCGTCTCACTAGGATGGTCGTGTTTGGCGCCGGAGTTCGCGCTCCAGAAATTTTCAAAGTTATGGCTGAAGATATGGGCAAAAGTCTAACTCGCAAGCAAGTGGGTTTCTGAACCTGGGTAACATCGCCCTTCCGAGCGATTGCCTATCCTTTATTGAGCTATGACACGAAGCCAATGAGGCGAAATTGGTAAGAGTCCTGGATGGCCATTAATGGATAGCGCATTCGCCCGAAGAGTTGCGTGATATCGGTTCGCAGTGCCGGTTTAGGGTGAGATATTTGTACCCTCAAGCTTCAACTTCTGGGTAATAACCACTGAAGTCCTTGTTCCAGGATACCTTAATTGCTACGACTACCACTGAAGTCCTTTTTTCAGTATAACTCAGCTGTTAGGACTATGTGCCGATGTTTGTGAGGGTATGCGACACTTGGAGTCACTTGGCCTCGTGACAACGGTCAACTTATGCCTCCGACCAATATCCTTATAGATGGGAACTCGAGAGCAAAGGTAAATTGCAGTCTTATAGTCAGCATATTTTCTGGGGTATGTACTGCGCGTCGCCGTAGCGTGGTTTTTAAGATTTGTTTTTGGATCACGAAAAAACAATACATGTCTTAGGCGAAAAATTTCTTTCGTTCACCTGTACCGCATATAAATTCAGGGCATATATCCAAGCTGCGTCACCCGCTAATCATTACAGCCCTGAATGATTTATAAACCCTCCTTTTGTCCGTTTTAGTTAATACAGTGCTTCGTCGCACTACATTGCAACATTGTTTCACTCTTCTTTGCCATCCATCATTTGAATTTCGGCAACGTAGCGCCGGGACGAGGATGCTAGAGCGCATTTATTTCCTTCCGCGGCAAGTTCCGGAGATGTTTCTACAGTGAACAAGCTTTGTTTGAACATTCTATGCAAAAAGGAGCCTTTGTTTGTTTGCCCTCCAACGGTGAGTTCAGATTGTATATAAAGTCGTGGCTAAAATTTTTTCGAGGGAAGAAGTTCGGATTTGTGAGAAAGCTGCCAACAGTGGTTCTCTTACTACGGGATTTCTTGACAAGTCATTAGGGATCTTTTACACAAGTTGGTTGACACTCGCGAATTACATGCTGTCAATAAAGCACATACAGTCTCGTTCGCTGCGGATGATGGGGCGTGTCAGTGAGGCTGGGTTTGGCGCGCCTCCTCCGTTCTTCACCCTATTTGAACCGGCTAAGCGCAGGACACGCCATCGTGTTGTGATTATTTCCTGAGAAATACGACTCCCCTAATTCTATCCTCAAATGCGCCCTCCCCCCCCCTCCCATGCTACTGACTGCTTTCCAAGATTTCCCAACTTCCTAAACACCTTTTCCCGAAAAATTTCTAGTTTCCAGCCAAGAAAAAAAATGGAATTCCCGTCGAGCGGGAGGGGGAAGAGGGGGGGGGTGCTGTCGAGCGGGGTTTCTTCGTGGAGGTCATATCAGGATTTATCCGCACTAACTATCGTAACAATCGGAAATAGATAGTTGTTATAGATCTTTTGGCAGTCCCTCTTCAACAACGGCAGTATAGCGTTATTACCCCTTGAACCAGTCCGGTGAAGCAATAGAGAAATTCAAACTACAAGAAAAATTTTTCCAGGCCAGGGTACCGACCTTCCTCCCTACTCACTCGGGCTTGCAATACGATCCCCCCCCGTTGTGATCATTCACAACGATGGCGCGCCCTGGTTTCTGAGCGAGAACAGCTTGTGCAGAACGACTGATGTAAACGATATGATGCAGTCTTGCCGTCTGCTAAAAGAAGAGGAAAAGGAACCGACGCCACGCCAAACCCCTCCCCTTGAAACACCCCATCACTCGCAGCAAAAGTTAATGTATCTCCCGTGTACAATACCCTCAATATCCATGACAAAACCGAAGATTTGTCCTTCACTGGGAGAGACTCACTACACTGTCAAAGTTTCGTTGGGACACAACTGAGGGCGCCTAGTGCGCGTTTCCGGAGGGTGGGCCCCATTAGAGATACTGTGGCTGGTTGTGTTTCCCCATTAGAATTACTGTGTCTCGAAAGTAAGCATGCACTATCGAAAATCGATTACAATCGGGGCTGAGTCAGTACTCTTTCAGGTAGCGTCACCCAGGGGGCCATCTCATCACGCACAGCTTCGCTACAGTGCACCGGAGTCCATACTGAAGGTAATGGTACTCAATTCAAAAGTGTTTAATTGCAAGTGATTTCCAAGTTTTCAGAACTCATTTTCGTCACAGTCGGACGTTTGGGCGTTCGCTGCATGCTGTTGGGAAATCGCTGAGACTTCCTGCACTAGAATACCTTTTGATCCTTGCAAACACTGAGTCTTGTGAGAATGCTCAACGAGATGCTGCTGGCTCAAGGAGTGGTTAGTACTGATTACAACCGGTGGTTTAAAAAATAACAGAACAGTTACATAGTTATTCCTTTGCAGGCTGTTCTCACCTTCACTGAATGTGTTCCTCGAGGAATACGAAACGTTTTCGTTCGATGCTTCGACGTTGATCCTCAATCGCGGCCGTCATTCGCACACATATCATATTTTATGAGCAAATATTATATTACTCCCGAGTAGTAGTCCATTTTTCATGTAGAGCAACCAGGAGATTGTAGAACCTTCGGAGATCGTCATTGATGTGCACCGTTAGGTCACAACGCGACATCGCGCAAACTTGTTGCATGTCGCGCGCGACCATTCGGCGTGTCGTCGTGTCAGTTTTACACGTACGATCTCTTCACAGAGTAACAATTGCTCGAAAAATCTACCTTATTCTTGCTGTAGGTGATCGTTGGTAATTAGCATTACTTATTACAGGTCTTATTTACATGTGCCAAATGTCGCTAAGTACGATACCTTTCGTGGTTCAACCACCTCAACTTCCTTGATTCCGAGTCCTAAACCTGAATTTTCTCTGAAAATGAGCGCTATTTTAATTTTCTTACCCTTTGAACCCTCTATTTGCGACTGTAACGACTATCAACTTATGCTTTATACACCTCATATTTTGGAGGTGGGATGTAAGCCAGTGCATGTCCTGCAGTTGGGGAGAAATATTGTAGAATGCGGCCCTTCCTCAAATTTTTTTCCTCTGACACCCCAATGCTTCCGTCCTAACTGAAATCTTCCCTATTTTCCACCATTTTCCTGGGGTATTTCTCCAGTTCATCCCAAAACTACCATTTAGCGGCGGGGAGATTCCCATGCGAACCCCCCACTGGGACCCCAGACGTAGGACGTGCACTGGCATGAACATGGCTGCGTACTTTGCTGTAGCAGCTGGGAAGTTTAATGCTCTTCCAGTGGGTAACTACCGTTGTGAGACCACTGTAATCATGCCTTTGTCCAGGACAAGGCAAGATGAGATTCAAAAGAAGCGCGCAGCCACGCCCCTCCCATATCCGGGATACGGAGTGTACATTCTTGCAAAGTTATCGTATACCAATAATACACATTACTTCTGCTTCCACGATCTTCTACGGCCCTCTGAAGTCACTAAGTGAGCGCTGGTTTTAGAAGTTGCAATCATACCGATTATATGGGCGGGGTCGCGCGAATAATCGTGCCTTACTCATTGGTGCGTTCCTCCATTCAGAGCATGAGGCGCACCAAAAACCGCAATGGTGCCCAGACTCCGCCCACATGATCAACGTGATGTGCCTTCGACGCAACATTGTGCTATGTCTGTCGAATTTTCCGCCCCGGTATCAATGCATCAAACAGGTCCGACGAACTTTGGCCGTTACTGCACTTCCTATTATTAACCTCACCTTTCGACAAGTCATCACTTGAGATAGGACGGCCCTTGGTGTTTGAAACAATTGTGAACATGAAGGGTAAATGCACAATTGTATTTCCTTTGACCACAATACGTGTATTCTTGTAAAAATTTTATCATTTTTCTTCTTTGAACAATAAATATATTGTATACTAGTACATGTTGTGATTAGGGTGATGTTTGGAAGTTTTTAGCTGTAGCATCAGACTTCGCATCAGAAACTGCAGAAGGGAAGTGTGCTATCAGAGGGCAAGCCGAAGAAGTCAATACCAGCACTACACACAGGGCGTACTCTTGCTACTGGGCTCCGCCTTTTCGCTGGGATTATGATTATGATTATTATTTATTATAGGCATTCCATTGACAGTGGAAAACATTAAAAAAACCAAAACACAGAAGAAACACTCCGATAAACAACATAGAACTCAGTGGGAAGGCAGGACAGGGAGTTGCGGTGAGGAGGGGGTCATCAGGGCAGAAGGGCAGTGGCCGCCAACACTGCAGAGCCATACAACGCTACGAACAGGACTCCGGATACAGCTTAGTAGGCGGGATCGCCAGTGGGTGAAGATGGGAGTTTCCTGCCCTGCAGGCGGCGTCATTTGCACCGTATCCTATGGATGTGGGTGTGACTTCCCACATTCTGAGACTTGCACCAAAGCGCTCTAAGATTAGTGTATGGTTGTTGTCATTCGGCTCTATATCCTCCCGTAGGCCAACGAAATACCGATATTTCAACTATTTATTTTCTCTGAAGTTTCTTTTAACCAGTAACATAGAAACTTCTTTTATAATCTAACAGTTAACAACACTAGTTAATAGCATGAATGACTAGTTCCATAATGGCTAAGTAGTCTCTTCCTGAGTTGAATCGTCTTCCTCCTCACTTGTAATCTTCTGGAATCTTGAGCAGATAGATCCCACTACAAACAGGGCTGCTACAAAACCGAAATACGCAGCATACACGACAAACTGAAACATTGGAGAGCATGACGTGACAAGTTCCTTTGGAAACTAGTAGTAGAGCATACTTGTGTTCTAATGCTCAAGTTCAGACCATGAGAATCAACAACAATCAATGTTAAAGCAGTCTGCAACACGACAGCTAGCAAAGTATTCCCATCCCAAACACCTAGGCCATAGCTTTCAGTTGTTATTGGCAAGCGTATGTTGCACTGAAAGACCCTTAGATGAAATAACTCCAGAGTGAAATGTCCTGAACTTGCGTTAATTGGGCGACAGAGTTGGGCGGTAGGGGGACTCAGCTAGGACTCCGTTCACTACCGTTCTATGCGGAGTCAGTAGGGAGATTCAATCACAATCTTCTTGGTGAGGGGAAGGGACCCACGCGAATGCTTAGTTACGCCGCCTCGTGTGCACCCCCCCCCACCCCTTACGTCCTTAGCGCCATGCAAACCTTGCGATTCTACCCAAAGAAAGGATCCATGAGGAACATATTGGAGCAGAGTAGAAATCTTGGAGACCAGAGAGAGAGAGAGAGAGAGACCGAGAGAAAGAGAGAGGAGAGAGAGAGAGCGAGAGAGAGAGAGAAAGGCCGACTTCACGCGAGACGCCAGTCGTACGGTGAGGAGTCACCGGGGGGATTGTATTCGGTCGCTGGGGAGGAGGGGGGTGGTCGATTTGGTTTGAGAGAATTTTTTTTGACAGTTGATTTCTTGTTTCATTGTTTCATAGAAGCTCTAAGAGGACTCATTATTTGTTTCTGTTGAAGAGAAGGGGAGGGGTGCATCTGACTTTGAGAGAAATGCGTGTGTGGGGGAAAGGACTTTTCCCTCAGTTGTCGACTTTTCGAGGCTTTTTTCTCGTTTCTATATCCGTCCCACCCGCTCGACAGCAAAATTTACGAAAAAGAAGGGGAAAATTCCTAAGAAATTCTGGAAAAACCGTTAGGAAGTAGGAAGCTGGGAAAAGGCGGAGATGGTCGTAGTTCAGGAGGGGGGGGGTGATATTTTCCGAAAATTTTCCCCAGCGGCAACGTGTCCTGGGACGAATAGACACATAGCAAAAATCAGCCCTACAATAATGTAGTGGAAGACACATTTTCACTAACTGATTTTCCCCGTTTCACCTGAGCTACATATCCCCTCCCCTTCTTCCCACCCAATGCTCATATCGTTGGTATTCCCAATAGGGGGGGGTCATATTTGGTCGCTGGAGGGAGAGGAGTCGTATGTGCACTGAGAAAAAAATTTTGATAATTGAATTTTTCTTGTTTCAGGGACTCTATAAAGATGGCGGGGAAGGTTTGCTAGTTGCCCAGAGAGGAAGGGTCGTATTTTCCTAGCGATCTTTCCCCTGTCACATGTGCTATGAACCCTGCCTCCCCTCGACAGCTCAATGAGGGGGCGGGAGGCGAGCAGAGAGAGGTAGGTAGCATCAAGGCCATCTTCTGGGGGGGGGGGGTCGTAAGGCAGATCGACAAGACCCAACTAAACACGTGGCCCCGCTCCAACCTCCTCCCCCCCACTTTCCTACATCTCCCGCCTGGTGGGTATATTTTGAGAAGTCTGGTAAGTTGGCATTAAGTGTCAGAGGACTCAAAGGACTTATAACAGAAAACCATTTCTTTTTCTGTATTCGAAGGTTAGGAGAAGAAGCTGTTGCACCGAATATCGGGGGGAGGCGGGGGGGGGTGAGGTGGCGTCCAAGTGGTTGTACTGACAAGAGCCATCCCACCTCATTCCCAATGTTATCCCCTGCGTAGGACTCCATATAGATAAATCGTTGTCGTCCTACGGTGACAGAGAGACTGCTCCCTCCATTTACCGGCCTTGTAGCCGCCCAATACATATAAACTAAACTCGCTCAGTAATGTATAAAACTAAGGCTAGCCCGCAAAGAAAGCTTGCCCCGCGAGGCAATACCAAACAAAGGCATGAACAACTATAATTAGGTTCGGGACGTTGTATCCACGTCGCAACGAGGGCGGCAAAATAGACGTTGCAAAAATGACGTCACGTGCGCTGCATTCGCACTAGGACCTAATTGATTTGACATGGGAATGCTGCAGTATGTCGAAATAACTAACTACAGATACTCAACCGCCGCAAAGTGGACATACCGTCCCAGGCAGCCAAAACTCGTAAAAGTTCACCTTGCCGCTGTTATTAACAAGTGGTACATGGACGTGACAAATACATATCCAATATAGGCAACCAAAATTTCTTTCGTCTGCGAAACCACAGCCAGAACGATGGCAATTAATGTCGAGGAAAGTACCAAAGCGACCCCATCATACTGATTCCAATTGATGGCAGCAAATTGAACGAGGAATGCCAGAATGGCGCCTGAAAAGAAAGAAATTCATCAGTGAGGGAAACCAGACAGCTTAAATTCTACTAGGAGTTCAGGATTCTCGGGTGAGAACACATCGCTACCAGACGCGCCCCCTAGCACTCATTCCGCATGACGGGGAGAAGGATACTCTAGAGCTACATCGAACCCTAGTCTCAGTCATTGTATTCCCAGAAATTCGGCGAAAGGCGCCACGTGAAATACATGGAGCTGGATTCCATTTCAATACTAGGGTGTATATGTACAAGGAAACATCCGAACCAGACGGAAGAAAGCTTTCGACGCCTAGATTTCTCCATTACTAAAGTGACAGTCTCCAGAACCTTAGGGCGACTTAACCCTACAAGTTGCGCAGCTGCTTCAAGCGGGCACAAGTGCTGTAGGCCTTGTTTGGGCTGCTACCGCGATCACAGATAACTTTTTAATGTTTCTTTCGACGGGGAGGCAGTAAGTTTTGATTCTGGTTAATGATTAAAGACGCTCCTCCAAATTGCTCAATGAGCGGGGCCCGGAAACGACGTCATTGGCGCACTCCTCCCTCACATCGTGGCGATGAAAGAGTCGTGAGGAGACCCAACCGCGCCAATCAAGTTGTTTCCTAGCCCCGCCCACCACGCACATAATTATACAGCTGAACAGCGATAAGGTGACTGGTAAAAATCTGCGAACAACGTGCAAGATGGAAAGTTGAGCTAGATAGTGTGTTCACGAATTATCAATCATTTTCCAACTTTGTCAGGATCGGGCTGATTCAAGCCAAGAGCTGCCTTGTATAATGTACATCTGAAGAATGAAATTGTAAGGGCGGAACAGGCACAAGGTTAAAGGTCTCCGCCAAGCGATCAACGGTGGCCCGTGCCTTTCATCTCTTCACAATGTGGAAGACCTGAAACTCAACTGAAATTTAACCTGAATACTACAGCTCGCTAAGCGCCATACCACAACGATCCACTTCAGCACGTCCTGTTTCCTTGAACATATAGTGAAATTTCAACAGCAGTTAGATATATATTGCTCGAAACCTTTTTCGAGCTTTTTGTTCTTCACTTCATCTTCCCTGAAAGTAAAATATACTACATTATCAAATGTGGGGTAAAATTTGTAAAAAAAATATACGTCAATGTTTCTTTCTGAGACCGGCCTTCGTATGTTAGATTGTCCAGGGGTTGACATGAAGCTGTTGGAGAAGGAACTGATGGTAACGCAATAGCAATAAAGAAAACAGTACAAACAGCAACCAGAGATATCTTGAAAATAAACAAGTTTAGGGAAATTACTCGACTGAATAATTTGTATTTTAGTTCTAACCTGGATTTAGAAGGAGGTACGACCCTACGCTTGTGGAAACCAAGACCTGAGCTAAACCAAATCTAACGTTTTCCCTACTCAGAGCGGCACTTCGAATATATGACGTCACTTTACGATAATGTTGCTCATCCACTACTGCATACATATAAGAGTAGTAAGCAACCTCAGCTGCCGATGCGAGGCCTAAATAGGTGTTCAAGAATATGTAACGAAACAGGTCTGATGTATCGGCAAAAGACTTTGCTAACTCCGTGAAAACGTTCACCATTTTCCCCCAACCGCCGTACCCGCGGAACAGACAACGCTTAGGCTAAATTCGCCTTGCCCCACTGAGGTGGAGACTGGCTACTCTCTAAAACTCGCTAAGAACGAGTTCAGATACCCGGACAGTTTTGAACACAAGATAAAACTAAAACAGTACAAACAAATTAAAATAAACTAAGCCAGCCGCGACTCGCCCAATCCTGATCACGTCCTCGAGTCGCGCTCGTTCTCAGCTGTTTTCCGTCCAGGACGTTTCCGCAATCGTGACGCGGAAGAGTAAATCGCATAGACTGATGTCCGGGCTATATGGTGGATGCGTGAACGTCTTGATGCCCAGCCTGTCCAGGACGGCCTGAGTATCTCTCGCTTTGTGGGGGCGCGCGTTGTCCCAGAGCAACCACGGATTTGCAAGTTTCTGGGACAAGGCGGCAGCTTTCACCTTGACCTCCTGTAATTCTTTAGAGAGGGTCTCTGCCGTCACTGTGGCATTGTTGGGTAGGATGCTGTAGTGGACGACGCCGTGGCGAGAGAACCAGAAACCTCGGCATATCTTCGATGCCATAGTTTTCATTGGTGAGGCGAGTCCACCATTTTGACATCCAGTTCTTAGAAGGGGTGTTACCAAACTGCTGACGCATCCTGGTCGTGGCCTGACGTCTGGAGATGCCCAGGTTGTAGTAGTCCAGCAAACATCGGCGGTGGTGGTGACTATCACTCATCTTCACTGCTTTATTGTGGAAAGATCAGGAAAGGAAATTTAGAGCTAGCTAGCTCAGATAGCCCATCGCGAGTACTTTCAGTATTGCGAAACCATTATGCAAAATCACAACGCGTTGCGTAACGCGACGCTGTTTACAAATGGCCAACGAACTTTGTGGACACCTAATACATTTCAAGCACTCTCTATACCCTTGAGTCGGGGGCACAATCTTCCGATTTGATCGGAAGGACCTGTCACCCTTCTCCTCTCTATTCGACAGATGTTGGCGTGAGAAATGTCCAATGTTTTTTTTTTCCAATTTGAGTAATTGTCAAGTACTGGCGAAAGTTAGTTCACCGAAGAAAATCTGCATCAGCTGCATTTGTCGCACGCCTTGACCCCAGACAAGGAGTGCCCATGTGATCGAAAGACAAGCACCCTCGAGCACTGTGATGATGCTTGATAACGGAAGTAGATGCCGTTAAATTCAATATAGGTAACTGAAAAAGTCATGAGTTTTGGTGTGTGGGTGATGGAACACAGGTAAAAAAAGACTTACCAAGAAAAACATGTAGGAATACGTCCAGAATGGAAAAATCTGCCCATAAACTTCATCCAGTGTAAGATTCTTGTAGTGTGAAATGAGGAACGGAGTAAGGAATGGAGTGGCCGGCCGAAATTCTTTGATAATCCCGTAAATGCAAAAAAGAACGGTTGTAGCCTTCCAGTTCATTGCAGTTCGGGGAGATGATCATATGCCACATTTAAGGTTTACGCATAGTACAAGTTGCCTATAAATCTGTAATAATAGATATTAGTATTTTGAAACCATGAGAGCTTCTTTCTCAAAGCGTGGCCAGAGTACATCACTGAAGGGAGCAGTTCAGCTTAGTGAGGTTGGTTTCCATCGATTATTGCCGATTTCCACTGGGAAACTTTTCAAAGGGAGTTGGCACGAGAAATCCCCCAAGACGAGCAGGATCAATGCGCCTGGCAGGACGGAATTCCGCGACTCTGAGCAGGCGCTGCATAATGCCTTTTCCAAGAAAGGTGCCCCACGTATGCAGCCGTACATTCGGTAGCGGTTATTGGCAAGATGCCTACAGGAAACTCGTCCAAAATTGATTTCTAACACATTGAGAACGGAGGCTCTTTCTTCGCAGGATTTTGACCGTTTCACTCCGTGTCTGTCGCTTTTTCCCCCACTATATTAGCGCCCTAACTAGCTTTTAGGCGAGGACCAAATCATCGTGCCTAAATGCAGTAGCTCGCGCTTCGGTGATAACTGACAAGAGCAGGGTCAGCACCTCGGAAAAGATTGCCCTTTCACTGCCACGTTCTCCAGAGAGGGGGTCCAGACCGTCCTCTCCTTTTGTTGACAGCTGAAGTATTTATTCTTACTCGCAGGGGTGAGCAGCGTTACTTCTCAATTGCAGCGAGTGCGACCAAATGGGCGTTGCAAGTGGGTGTGTGTTCGCACCCGGACCCAAGCCACCCAAGACAGCTGTGTTGCATCTCTCTATGGAGTGCGCCACGTGCTCTGCTTCCGATCTGAATTCCAGTGAATTTTAAGAGAGGACACTCTCTGACCCAACTTATTACTACAACCGAGTTATCAAGTTCAGGCAAACGTAACTTATAACTGCGGCATAGCTCCGTCCACACAAATTTCCTCTGTTATGAGTTCTTGACCAATCCAGCTTGCCCTGCCCCCCTCCCCTGAGCCAAACAGGGCCCCATTAAAGTCCAGTGACAGCAGGAGCAAGAAACGAGCGATCCGCTTGTGATAGAATTCAAGAGAAAACAGGTGAATTATGTTGCTGAATGCTAAAGGTAGGTCATACGCCGGAACAAGTATGAGACGAGTGAACCGCCCTGATGCAATAGATTTCCACAGCTCCATATGCCATCAGAAGTACTGCTTAAAGGCACATCTCGCGGATACCTGAGGCTGAATCTTTAGTCTGTATATAAGCGGGGTGCAGGTAAACACCGCAGAGGTTGGCGTGGTGATGCTCTCTTTGTCGTCTGTGTGCTCGTTCGTCATTCCGTTGCCTGGCTCTTCTTTCACACACTCAATGTTTCTTCACCGTACTTTGGGTGCCGTTCAAAACCTAGTGCAACAATAAGGGGGTGCCATTTTGGCGAGACATCACACATGCCTCGACAAAGCAAAATGAGCTCCTAAGAGCCCCCGGACGATCGCTTGCAAGGTAGAATCTTTCATTGTACGAGATGACAGCCGTAGAAGTGCACAACTTTGGTCAAACGAAAGTGGAGGAAATGAAGCTGGGACAATGGGAAGATCTTTATGTCTCCAATCAGCTACTCAATACGCGGCAGGCCACAGACACACGCCGCAAGGATAGCCTTACGCGTAAGGCTGCGTTATACTTTGCGGCAGCGTACGCCAGCGCACGCTAGCGTTTCCAGCGTTCGGCAGCGGCAGTGGCAAGGGAAGGATGGATATCGATCTAGCGTCACCAGCGTACGCTAGCGTAGCGAGGGCAAGGAAAGCATAGGTATCGATTTAGCGTTTTCAGGTATATATATGTATGTTATATGTAATATATAGGGTTTGGGTTTACATAGGGTTTGGGTTTTCTCTAAAGGGTTTGGCGATCTAGGCTCCCCCCTTGACCACGCCCACTTGCTTTTTGCGGAATTTTGATATTTTTTTCAAAATTTTTGCATTTTTGGTCTGCTACGTGAAGCCCCGCCCACTGTGAGAGGCTCCGCCCACTTTTCAAAAATGGTGCAATCGGCAGTATAGGGTCTTGGCTTTGCATGCTAGGGTCTCGTCCGTCACTCGGAACAAACTGCTTAGCATGCGCCAAACCGAGACCCTATACTGCCGATCTGCACCATTTTCGAAAAGTGGGCGGGATTTTTCAAAGTGGGCGGAGCCTCTCACAGCAGGCGGGGCTTTACGTAGCAGACAAAAATGCAAAAATTTTGGGAAGTATCAAAATTCCGCAAAAAGCACGTGGGCATGGTCGAGGGGCCGGGCCTATGATCACAAGAGCCTCAAAGAGAATACCGCAAACGCCCTTTGTTAATTCAAACCCTATATATTACATATAATATACATATACATATATACCTGAAAACGCTAAATCGATACCTATGCTTTTCTTGCCCCTCGCTACGCTAGTGCACGCCAGCGTAACGCTAGAGTACTCTAGCGTTACGCTAGCGTACATTGGTGACAGTTAGAAGATAATCCCATCCCTTCCCGTTGCGCACTGCGCTGCGGAGCGCTCTAGGAACGCAAGCGTACGCTGGTCGACAAGAAGTAATAAACGCAGCTAACCACAGTCCACACGAGCAGCTCTGGCCTCTCTCACCCCCTAGCGCAAGCGCAAGAGCTAGGATGAGCAGAAAAAAAAATGCAAAATCGTTGCAAAATTCGTGGTGGGAACTCTGGAGTACCCTCAAATGGTTAAACGGTTTTGGAGGAACTAGTTACTAGAAGTAAGTAAAGGAGTAAGGGAAGTGAATGACACTAGTATCGAAGCTAAGCGTTTTGTTCGTAATGAGAGAGTGAAACATCCATAGTACAAGTTTATACAGAAGCTGGTTATAAGGGCATGAAGTCTTATCAGCGCCGTGGTCGTCATATGCATCGGGCGAAAAAAAATGTATTCAAGTGCAAAATAACCCCAGCAACGAAAGTACCGCGATTTTTTTTCATGAGGTTGACGAGTAGGAATAGTGGAGTAGTGCTAAAATACCATGTGAGATATAGTTGTATGTATATGTGAGACTATAACCAAACCCTATTTTGAAGAGAAATAAACTATTTCAGCTTGTCTCCAGGACAACCCTCGCCTGACCGCGAAATATGAGCTGCCAGTATGAGGGTGGTCCTCGAGCGGGCGCAAGGAAGCACGAATATTTTTCACTCACTGAACAAAATGCGACAAGATGCTGTATAAAATATGTCAAATGGTCCGTGATAGAGCGGCAGGTTTTGATTCATAAGTGTGATAAAAAGGATCGTATCAGAAACGAAAACGTCAGAAAAGTATATGTAAATAAGAAGATTAAAAAATAGGAGCGTCACCTAACCAAACAGCTAAAAATCGATAATATCGAAAAACCAATATTTTCAAGTCAGTTTGGAATCTATATAGCACATTCAAAGGAGAATCCAAGATGAAGCTGACAAATATGACAACTGCTCGGCGAACTAGAGCACAAACCGCCCGTGCTCCATGGCAACAGTCGCGCCCCAACGCTAATTTTACATTCTGCATGTTTCAAATTCCATTATTCATCACATTCAGCTGTTTTGCTTCCGTTCACAATCTTTCCTTTGTATTCTGAGAAAAGATGTTTTTATTCCCCACAGCAAACTCGTTAACAACCCTTCAGAGCTTGTTTTTTGTATGTTCCAAGGCATTTATCCTAATTTAATTCGAAATTGATCTCCAATTCTAAGTATTAGAATTGTCGTCATTGCGCTGGAGTAAAGGAATTGTTAGGTGGTTGAAAATATGCTTAAGTCTACTACTAATGATGGTACGTGAGAAATTTTGCCCTGGTACGAATAGTTCGTAGACTGGGTGGCTCCTCTTGGAAAGTGCTGCTCAGCATTGTCTGTGGAAGCGGACTTGTCTGGTCACGACATTTTCGCATGAGTGTCTACCAGTATTATACGATTTCTAAGAACTATGATCTGAGTATCGTATTTTAAACCTATTTTAAAAAGCACACCTAGATGTATGATCTACCAGTGTTCTGATCAGACCACCCATGATTTTTATTTCCCCGCTGTGCTACTTTGGCTTTTTTGGCAGCGCTGCAATCGTCCATACTCTTATCCTAATAGTCGCTAAACATTTTATTATGCCACTTTATGGAAATTAACTAGTGACGAAATAAAAGGTAACAAAATGGCAAATTCCTATTCGAAGTACAATGGTCTCTAAGGTCTTTGCCGCTCCTTCAAAAAACGGTACTACTCCTTTGAAATGAGTAGCAAAAAAGCCTTGTTGTATTGGAGACCGTGTAGAGGGTCAGAAGCCAGGTAGGAGCTGCTGAAGACTCAGGAAACATGCGTAACCGCTTTTTGCATTACGTAGAGGTTCACACATGGAACTAAAAAGGTGATTCATTTTCGTTGATCGGTTTTAAGAATGTCGGATGAGGGGTAGAAGATTTTCCAAGGAGGGTCAGTTTTGCACATTCCGGACCGCCGTTGTTCGAAGATTTACGCATGACTTCGTTACCTTTCAAACCAATAGTCAGCAATTTCATCTTTTTTTTCCCACTTTTTTTATGAGATATGTGTATTCTGTGCCTGAAATCATGTTCTGATAACTTCGAGCATGAATGAGATGCCAAATAGACCGTGTGAAACGGCGCAGTGAGAAAATATATGACACACCATGTGGCAACGCGGTCGGAATGTGTTTAAACTTCTTATTGGCTTATAGTGATTCCCAAATACACAAGAGATACATTTTCCAAGGGCATAATTACTTCTATATCTCCACAAAACTCTTCATTCAAGCAGAACATCTTCAGCTCATGCAGTCTACTGACTTCAGCCTACTGACTGGCCAGACTAGGGTGTAGTTCATGACATCCGAGGTGCAGCATCGGCGCAAAGAAGCTGAGAAATTCTTACTAGTTCGAGACTTGAACCTGTCCAGACGAAACCATATATTGAATCGGCTTGCTCTTGATGCGAACGACCCTATTTGCGGCGCCTTTTAGCCGTCACTCACCTATGTGTTAAGAAATCACGTCAAAATGGGGTAACTATAGCCAGTACCACTTTACCATTCTGATTTTTGGCAAGGGAGATAAGGCGGACAAGCCGTCCATGTAGTTATTTTATACAGTAGGTAGCGTCAAAATCAGGCGGGCCGTGTCAAAAAGAGGCGGGATGATCCTGCCTCCGCCTCTTTTGCTACACGAATAGTAATCATTTAGTGGTCGATTTGGTGAGTAGACCGCCAGTCTCCCAAACCCAACCAGTGAAAACAAAGAACGCGGTGGGCTCATTACATCCCTACAGAAATCGCCTCGACCGTCTGCGACGTTATCAAGCGTATCCTGAATGTTTGAGGAAGGGGGCTCTAAAATCGTAAAATGCAGCGTCGTCACGCTCCGCACAGTAGGGCAATGGACGCAGCAGTTTTGATGAGGTGTTTCACGACGACTAGGAAGCTAACATGTATAGCTTCCCCCTATTCAAGGTGCTCAGCAGTATTCAACTACTACTACCCCACTCTTTCGAGAACAGTTTAGGTTTGGACCGAGACCTCTTGAACACGAATATCACCCATAGCTTCTGCTTGCCCTTAAAGACAGGTCGCCCCGCGCTCCAGAGTATTACATTGGTCGGCCTTCGCTTGTGCCAAGTAGTGGCATTTGCCCGCAAGCTAGAGAGCGTATCCACTCTATTCGACATCCAGCAGTGAGCGGGAAACGTAGGCCTACAGCCGCTTCGAGACTTCTAGGTGTCTGGAAGGCCCCGCTCAAGTTTGGACGCGCCTCACTTGCTAGATGCCCTGCGTGCCCATGAATAATTCTGCTTTCTTTTATTACATTTTATTCATTAGCAGCACATACAGTCAACTTTCATCCCATCTCGCAAGGTAAAACGCGTAAAAATCACGAGTGGCCCGATTTTCGTGGTGCAAAAACTCGACGCACTTCAGTGCGCCAAAATGTGCGCTACCGTAACCCAAAATTCGGGCACCGAGTTTTTGAAATTTCTTTTTCCGTTCCAAGAGTTTTTCCTCTGCGTTTTTGTTGTTTTTTTGTATTCTTTTTTTTGCACTGGATGATATCAACTTTTGCGAGATGTGATAGAGAGATTTGTGAGCTAGGGGTTGCACAGAGACCGCAGGGAGGTGTGACTATGAGGGAGCGATTTTGTTTATGTTGTTCTGGAAGACGCTTCTGCTTGTTTTCTTCTTTGGGAGATTACTTATCAGCTACTGTTTCATAATTAAAAAGCACTATCCAAAGACACTTTTATCGCGGGAGCTGTCTTTAAAGGCAGCTGACGCGAAAAATCCCCCAAGGCGACTTTTAGATCAATATTCCTGGCAGGCATAGAATTCCCCGACCCTGGGCAGGCGCTGCATAGCGGTTTCTCCGAGGAAGGTGCCCTTATAAGGGCCCTATCAAGCCACAACTTTACGTCCCAAATGCCCGCCACGCCCGGCCTGATCCCACAATGGACGACGTTCCTGACGCTCGTATTCATTCATTTGCTGAGCAAATTATGAAGCGAAGGGATTGGTATGAAGCGGCCGTGATGCTGCATGCATACATGGGTACACATATGCAGCCGTATCTTCGGTAGCGGTGATTGGTAAGATGCCTACGGAACTCGTCCGAAATCGATTTACAATCACTAAGAAACGGAGGCTTTTTCATGCAGATTTATTTTGACTGAGAACGGAGGCTTTTTCTTCGCAGGATTTTGACCGTTTCACTCCGTTCTTTCGCCATTTCCCCACTACAGCGCCCTACTAGCATTTTAGGCTAAGTAGGAAACCATCGTGCCAACTGCCTTTAAGCTGCCTAGCGCGCGCCACAGGCGCCGGCGCCAAAGTACCCTAGATCACCAAATCCGCTGAAAACTTGTACCCAGGGGTAGTTTGACCTCCTAATCACGAATATCACATTCCGCTCAGCTCGAAAAAGCCTGCGCCAAAAACTCGTATAGGGGGTTATTTGACATCCTGATTACGACGTTCATTTTTGGGGCTGGCGTCAGTGGAGGACCTACGATCATCTGCGACCGGGTAAGGCTGAGCCTGGCTAAAGGGAATCACCCCTTTTCCCAGTTCAGCCATAGAAGAGCGCTAAATGGCGCTGGTGTCGAAAAATGAATGCCATATTCGTGAGCAGGGCACCTATTATGCGGGTTTTTATCGATTTTGATGGGGAAGAGATGGCACTTTGGCGCCAGATGGCGCCAGGACTAGAAGTATGTCATGTTCGTGATCTGGGTAACGAATGGCCCGAGTATGCAAGTTTACACCGATTTTGGTGAGAAAAGTGGTGGCGGTATGGCGCTCGCTTCGAAAACGAATGCCATGCTCATGATCAGGATAACGAATTACCCTACTGCAATTTCACCAAATTTTTTAAATTTTTGGGTAGTAGTAGTAGTTGAATAGTACTCTACTAGTGAGAAAGCGTTGGATTTAAAACATCGTTTATACGGCTGCAAACTATCTAGTTGTCGCACTGGCGGGCGGAATCGCTGGCCACGCCCCTGAGCGTGGCGAATACGTTGTCCTGTTGCATATCCTTAGAGCGCGGTAAAGTGTGTCTTAGGGTGGCTCAGTCATTATCCGTTCTGATTACAGTTGTAGAGCTCCTGAGTTACATTGTGAACGATACTCGTAAAATCTTTTGCGTTTTAGTCAGTTCTCTTTCAGCCATGAAGTCTCGCTTCACGACCTTAGATGTAAGCGCTGCGGTGAACGATCTGAAAATACTAGAGGGCATGCGAATTGTAAATGTTTACGATATCAATCACAAAACCTACATTATGAAGTTATCCAGGTATGTCCTTACATTATTAGTCCTTTTCAGTTGATCATTTTTGTGCTACTTTTTAGGGCAACTGAAAAGGCCCTCGTGCTATTTGAATCGGGCATTCGTATCCATCGCGGTTTCCATGACTATCAAAAAGCTGCATTTCCATCCAGTTTCAGTCAGAAACTGCGTAAACACTTGAATAATCACAGGTTTGTGCAAGTTAGATCACAGTCTGTGTCACAACGCATGTACTATGTAATGGGTATTGATTTTACGCGCATACAATCAATGCTCATTTCCATGATAGCGAAAGGGCTGTCAAAGTGAACAATTCGCCCGAAATAGAAACGCATTTTTATAAATAATGAGTGATTTTCAGACTGAGCAAGGTTTCGCAGTTGGGATTGGATCGTATCGTTGATCTACAGATCGATGACGGTGACCGTGCTGTTCATGTAATTGTCGAATTGTACGATAGGTACGCAATTTTTCTATTTAACCGAGGTTCGTTCATCTAACCCAGTTTTTTTAGAGGTAATATTGTGCTCACTGATGCCTCGTACGTTATTCTGAACATACTCCGTCCGCGAACTGACAAAGATACCGACGTTCGACTTGTTGTTCGTGAAAAGTAGGTATTTTTTTTCTTGTAGATGGGCAAAGTATTTATTTTCGTTCAACGTGAAAACAGTCTGCTTCTATGGTTTATGGTGGAGACAATAGTCTCACTAAGTAATCTCTTTGAGGTTTGGTTACACTTAAAGACACAGGATGGCAACTATTTGATGGGAAGTCTTGCATTGCATAAGGTCCACAGCTGACTCAGGTGTACCATTCTTTGAACGTCAAGTTGTGTGGAGAGAGTGCTGTGGGTTCCTGATATGGGACACCCCAACCCTAGACGCGTGGTCCCCGCCCACTTTCCCATCGCCACTAACTTTGCTGATACAGGAAATGATACAGTTTCATATGGGGAAAGGGACATAATAAGAGAAAGGAATTATTGGTATAATGATATTAACATACGTAATCTACAACTCTCGAAACGAAGAAGAGTCCTATCTCGGGCATTCTCGACATTTTTTCCCTTTGTGAAGATACCTTTAGCACTGTATCAGAACTGCAAGTCACTGCCCTGATTTTGCCTTCGCTTACTGTGCACTTACCTGCGTGGAATGGGCTGCCGTGTGAGCGTAGCACAGCTTGGGTAGCACCATGTGTTTGTTTTTCAGAAAAAAATTACCTAGGATTGCCAATAGGTAATTCAAATAAGTTATCTTGTCAACTGCAGGTATTGATGATGTTTCATAGGATTCTTTCTGCTTCTTCAGGTATCCAGTGCCTAACTCCCGTTCGCTTCCTCACCTGCCTACTGTTGACGAAGTGGCAAAGATTCTGAGGTACCGTAATTCTCTATAATATTGTATTTCGGAAGCACCATGTAGTAATTTTCCATTTCTAGAGAGTGTGATCCAAAAACTACTCTCAAGCGTGCTGTCGCACAACCTGGAATCTTCAGTGGTGCTCTAATTGAACATGCTTTGCTTGTGGAAGGCCTCAATCCCGATTTTCAAGTACGAACCTTCAAATTTTTTGTCATTTCAAGTCCTCAGAGAATCATTACATCTTAGCCAGTTGCGTAATATAGATTTCTGCTTATTGCTCGGTTGAGAGATACTTTTTCATCGCTCCCTTCTTCATGCTAGGTCGTTTTGAGGGAAGGGTAAAGAAATCCAGGCAGATTGGCGAAAGGGGAACGTACGAAGGAATCGTCGTGCAAATTAGCATTGCTGTAATGAGGACTCGCTTCACGCGTAAGCTAAGGAATTCCCCTACTCGCAGCAACAAAGGACTCGAATACCTCCTCCCCTACTTGCCAACTTGTATCAACGTTTATACAATATTTTACTAAGTCTGGTCGGTAAGTAATGGTTAAAAACTCCAAAAATCAGGAGGGATCTGCCTTCAATACGGCCTTCTTTCGGCTTATAAGACCTTATAGCACGTGTCTTTAGTGAGCCTAAGCGCATGTGGGCATGACTCATATGATTCGGTAAGAACCGTTTTTGTACTTCTAAGGCATATGAAGATCGGAAAATGAGGGTACAGGTGTTGATCTGACTCTGACTTTCCGATTTTCCAGATCGATATTTTTACACTCCTTGGCGGGTATGTTGAGGTTCTCCTAGTGTCGCAAAGTATGAACGCAGTCAAAGGTGGTTCCTAGCCCTTTCACTGACTTCTATGCCGTGCTCAGCTTTCCTTTACAGTTTTTCTCTCCTTTGAGAGCGTTTTTCTTTTCTTCCATTATTGCAATAATTCGCTTGCTTTTCTTGTGTTTTTATGTATGTTTATACACTGCAAATTTTCCAGATTTCTGAGCAAGGAGACAATTGTGCCACCCATGTTGTTAGTGCATTGAGGATTGCAACGGAGATTACAAAGGAGATTTTGAGGAGCCAGTGTCATGGGTATATCCCTTACTCACGCGATAAGCGTAGCGATGGGACTGAAGTGGTAATATTCCAGGTAATGGTTGTGTACGGTAGTAATTTGAAACATTTGCTCTATTTATTCCGCTTCAGGAGTATCATCCCTACCTTTTTGCGCAACACGAGCCTGGTCACTACGTTATGCATGGATCATTCTCTGAAGCCGTAGATGCTTTTTATGCTGCTCAAGATGCGCAGAAGCAGGTAATTTTTGCCTTCCTTATTTTTTATGCTTTCGTTTTCTTTTCTCACAATTATGCGAAATGTTCTAGCAACATAATGCTCTGAAAATGGAAAGAGAAGCTATGAAGAAATTGGAAAATGTGAGAAATGATCAGTATCGTCGAATCACAGAACTTGAGAAGAGTCGTGAGGAGAAGATGATCATGGCTGACTTGGTCATATTTAACCAGGTAAAATGTGAAAACCAGATAATAGTTCTCTTAATCGTTGTCATTTGTTTGATTCCAGAGTCTTGTGGATTCCGCAATTAGTATTATCTGTAATGCTCTTGCTCAAAAAGCCACATGGGACGAAATAGCACGAATGCATAGTCAGGCGATAAATAGCGGTGATCCGGTTGCACGGTAAAGTCTATATCTTTCACCTTTGGAACTCTTCTTAACTGGGTCGGCAGTCCACTAAATTATGTGTTAGGTCATATAGCGACGTCATCGTGTTACAGTTGTGTCCGCTGCGGCCGCTGAGACGATTCAGTTGGCTGAGTTTGGCACAGCGCCATCCCGTTCCGTAACACTTGTTGGAGCGAGCAAGCGTCAACTATTGGTGTAAAACGAGCTGGAACTGCGGCAAGCCCCCTAAAACGTCTCAGCGTGCGCATCTAGCAAGACTATACGTCATTGGCGATGGCATAGTTTCTTACGGAGTACACATGACATTTCCATGACACTTTTTTTCTTGCTTTCGCATCAAAGGGCACTTGTTCCTGAGTTAAGAGATATTACCCTTTGAGTGTTAAGAGACAAAGCTACCTTGGGAGGTATAACAAACCAACTCCTTTTGGTACCACAAAATGGTTTCCGCTCAGAAGTCTCCACTCTCAGGCCTGTCAAAGGTATGTCCTGAGCCACAGGTGCCGCTTGAATGACATACCGCGAAGCAATTTGCTAAAGCTGTGTTCGTGGCTTTGCGACGAGAGACCGAGGTGTTCGGCGATTTGGTACACTCGCCAAAGGGAAGTATAGGTATCGATCCAGCTATTTAGGAAAATCGGCGATGCGCGCCATAAGGAGTAAGATGAATATCAATGCACTCCTTTCGCTAGTATATACGCTAATTCGAGTAGAACCCCGCGCTTCAGATATCCCAGTCCTTCTTCCTTTTGTCCCAGTCCTTATCGACAGGAATGGAAGTTAACACATTTCATTCGCCTTGGCCCGCATCCCCTGCCAATGTCGCAGGTTGCCGTTTTTCTATCCCGGTTCTCGTTTCGCAAAGTATGAGCACATTTTAGAGGATTCAACTGCGAGTGTATAGTGCAATAGCGTCCCAACTTCAGTTGTTTTGTGAAATGAGACGACTGTGACATTGGATGAAAAGATATCGTTATTCAGAGCGATTGTCAGCCTCGATCTCTCAAACAACAAGCATAATAATGCGTTTGAGCTGAGGATCAGGAAGGGAACTTCAATTCGTAGTTATTTGACAATAAATACGATATTATTTTGAAGTTCTGGGCAGTGTAAGACTTATGCGTGATGCTTTGTTAGAATAGCTCAGAAACTAGCTCTTCTATTCTGACCAGCACAGGCCCAACAAATGATTCCAACGATTGGAACTTTGGCCCTTCCGATGGATTTGACTGGTTCTGTCAAGTGATTTTGTTGTACTCAGATGCATTTCAAGATGTAACGAAGACTTTTCTGGGAATACGCTGGGTGAAATCTCATTTATCTTCTTCGTTTGGGTCCCGTTTTTCTGCGATTTCCCTTTTCTCTTGGAAAGAAGAAGCGCCAATTATTCCTTTCTCCTTTAAAAAAAAAACATTGGATTGGATGGCCATTTTTTTGTTGATAAACAGTACACATTAGAAAGGATATCTGGGTGTGTATTTGTTGCTAATTATTTGAAGGTTGTACAAGATTTTCAACTTTATGGATCACCGTGTGCATTGGGTAAAATGCACGTCTTCCCACCATTGTCATTTCGCGGCTTTCGAACTGAAGCAACGGATGCCATCTTGAATTCGATGAGCGGGCAAATATATCATATTCATCTAATTATGGATCCAACCCTCACGTTGCATACAACATCAATGCCCCAGGTTCCCAGCGTTTAATCACGTTTGAGCGCGTGTACAGCTCCGCGGTGAGTACAACGAGGCTCTTTGCTCGTTTTGGCGGCTTTTTTCAAATTTACTAGCAATCGTGTATAAATAATATCTAAACAGAGAAAGCATAATCAGCACATTTGTAGGAAGCGTACCCGGAAAAACACCCAAAAACTATATTCTGAGTAATCGCCGAATATATGTCAATAAATGATAATAAATACATAATGCAACTGCAATAGAATGGCAGCAAATTTTACTAACGCACATTTATTGTTTTTGAAAAAGTCTGTTTTGTTGATAAAATTCCACGCGGTTCACTTCGTGTGGAGGCCTGGTGTATCGGCTAACCGGCTCATCACGTTGAACGTGTGAGTGCTCGAAGGCAATGGCACAAATAGCCATTGAGCTGAGAGGTCAAAAGTGGCCCCGGTAGCGTAAGTGGTAACGCAACTGCCCGGTAAGCAGAAGATGCGGGTTCGAATCCCGTCCGTGGTCCGACTTTTGCCCATAACTCAGCATTCTTGTGATAGCTTTCGTATCGCGTACTGCGGCGTTAAACAGCAGTTATCAACAAACAACAGCTTTTGAAACTGAAAGTTCAGTCGGATGACTAGGCTATCCAAATCAGCTTCTTCATCGAAATCAGCTTTTTCCAAAAGTAAAAAGGGAGAAACTTTTGAGTAAATTGGGAGGAACTCACTGGAAAGACATAGAAAATTGTTCGTAGTACAACTTGTATTTATTTGCATTATTATTTGTATGTAACTTTTAAAAACCTCTGCGTTCATCGAAATCCGTCTGGTTCCGATGAAGTTTCCCCGAAATGGGCGACGCGGGGTTCAGCAATAATCACCCGCCGCGAACGCGCCGCTCGACAAATGGGAGTTTTTGGCGAAACGGCGTCGCCCCGAACGTGTTAATATCCCAAAATGGTCACTGAAAGAGGCAAATTTCATTTTGAAACCACCAATCCTGATCGAGTTCGCTTAAGATATTCGCTTAACGGCTAGCTATCCACTTTCAGCACAAATATTGCAGGAGAGATGTCCCAATCGACATTGGCATGACAGCATTCAACAACTCTTGCATGCTTTATCAAGGCATGAAAGCTGCTGGTGAAAAAGTACGTTTTCAAACTGTGGCTAGTGTGATGAGTGGATCGTTTTACTGTTCAGATTGTACGTACAGAAGCAGCCGCTGATAAAGCGGTAAAGAACGCAGAGGATAAAGCGAGTGAAACTATTAAGCAGGTGAGATTTGTCACAGTGGCGCCATTGAAATAAGACCAGCGTGCTTGTACTTGTTTAGGTCCACGTGCGTGCGGATACGGCAAAAGTCAGAAAGGAAATGTGGTTTGAGAAGTTTATTTGGTTCATCTCGTCAGAGAATTACGTAGTGATTGTGGGACGTGATGCTCAACAAAACGAACTATTGGTGAAACGGTGGAGTGATGCAGTAAAATAGCTTGTTGTGAGTTCCAGCTGTGAATGCTTAAGCGAGTTCCTGCCGCCGAATTACTCAGGCGAATGGAAACGACCTCAGCGCGTACTTGTAAATTTATGTGGCACTAGATGAATTACGCCGAAGGTTTTTCTTCCTGGTATTGGGTAGGTCTCACATTAGGTTCCGAGACATTTTCGTATACGACACACAGATCTAAGTTTGAAGGTTCACGGTCTTATATGTCTAGCAGGATCAATTTCTTCTTTTAGAACAACTATACAGTCTTATTCGCTACTTACGCTTACGCGTTTGAGTGGATGACTGCATTTTGCGCTGCGCCAGCCTGCTCGTTCTCCAGTAACTGTAGCGCCTGCAAGCTTCGACAATTAGTGAGAACAATTTGGCCGCGCCAGACCAAGTCCTTCTGCAACGGTGTAACATCCGCAGCGAAGACAAACTGCAGCCTCCACCCCCCCCCCCCTCCTTCCCCCCCCCACTCCGTTTTGCTAGAACCTTCAAGGAAGACTTATTTTGAGATAAAACTACTAACTGCCTTTGTACTTATTGCACTAGTTGACCTTAGCTTTGTGCGTTCAGTAAATAAATCGCTGATGTAATCTCTGGACAATCTTTAAATCCTTACAAAATTGCAGTACAAAATATTGCGTGAAACATTACTGTGAGAGCTCAGTTTTTTTTTTGTTGGCCAACTTACGCCTCCAGTTTTTTTTTCCATTCAATCTAATTAGTAGTTAATCTCTTCATAATTTAGATACCTGCGACCTGGAGACATTTACGTGCATGCTGATGCTCATGGTGCTGCATCTCTTGTGATCAGGTAGTTTTTTTTCTGCATGAGCTTCATTGACCGACAGTTGATATCGCGGCAGTCGGTCGGGGCGCTTTCAAAAGGCATGGGTTGATCCCATATGCGGCGTTTCCACCGCTGGTTGTTTCCTCCCTGAATCGACCTCCTGGCCACCATTGATAGAGCAAGGCAGCCATTGATCCTTTCCGGGTTTGCTTCGCGAATCCGCAGTTCTTATAATGTGGGCCTCTGACCGTCCTAATTTCACAATACAATGGGAAGCGCTGCTTGGTTTCACCTTAATTATTGGGAGCTGTGGACATTTCGTGGGCTACGAGACTCGTATGGGGCCTAGCCAGTTCTTTAAGGGGGATATTTTCTTTGGGACTGTGTGGGGATGCCGGAGTTAAGACACACTGTTAAAGACAATCAGTAAACTTGCGAAGAAGTTCCTGAGGCACGGTTATCAGTAGTACTGTTTATGGGTTATGAACTTGTAGAGACAGAACAGTCTCCCGGAGGAGATTGCGGTTCTCGAATTCTTCTATAATTTCTCAGCATCATTCCAGCACGGTTTTCAGCAAAATGTTTGACTTTCTCTGATGTAACACTCAACTTACCTAATCCTTCTAATTAGAAATAAAGCGGGCGGTGGAGTAATTCCGCCGAAAACAATGACGGAAGCCGCGCAGATGGCTATTTGCTATTCAAGTTCATGGAGCTCAACTGTTATCTCTTCAGCGTGGTGGGTGTACGACCATCAGGTGAGCGGCCTTATTATAACATGTTATATCGTTTCATCAGTTTTAGGTATTTAGGTTTCAAAAGTTGCTCCATCTGGGGAGTACCTGTCTCATGGTAGCTTTATGATCAGAGGCAAGAAAAACTTTATGCCTGCTAGCCCACTGGTACTTGGTTTCGGTATTTTGTTCCGTCTTGATGAAGAAAGTGCTGCTAATCGCAGACAGAAGATGGCGGTGAGTTCACTTGAATTTTTTTAAGATTTATCATTTCAAAATCCTCCGTAATTTACGGGTTTTGTGGGTTAGTGCCACTACATAGGGTTGATGAGGCGGAGGTGGTGTATAGCTAGTGGCATGCATACCACCCACGCGGTCCGGTTCGGTTCCCGCTCAGGTCAGCCGAGCCTTCTACCCCCCCCCCCACCTCGGAGGCCATTAATTGGTACCAGATTAGTTTGGGAAGGTGAAACACTGCTTCGTACATCTGCTGGCCCCTCAATTAATAGTATAGGTCGCTGGCATTCAATGAGGTATGATTCTGAATGGAAGTAGAATCCGTACCGCATGCTCAAAAGGGGCTGGTAAATGATGGGATGGATTTCGCACTTTAGATCTACCAGTATTTATTCATCAACTTGATAATATCGCATTATATTCACCGGAAAGTTCTCGTGAACTAATGCTTAACCGGACTTTTCTGAGTTC